ATGCTCAAGAATAAATCTTGCTTGACGAATAAATCGCCTCTTGCTCTCCTTAGCTCTTTCAGGTGAGGCAGAGATACAATGTAGAGTTGGCTAATGTGCAGACATAGCAGAAAAATGGATCTTTTTTCCTGCATTAGGCATGTCATCAGAGGAGATACTTGAGACAACTCTATTAAAGGTGCAGCTGAATCAATAAGGTGTATTAATTTATTTTTTCCCCCAGATGACTCCTCGTCTTCCATTTTATAAATTCCTATTTTTAGCAAGAGAAAAGTAAGCAGGTATTATTCAGTACGATGTTTCATGTCATATGATCTCCTTTTCTGGCACGCTGCTGCTTGAATAGGCCACCTTCAGCAGTTTTAAGAAGGTGGGTTTTTACATATTGTTTTCACTTAGGGCAGTGCAAATTTATTTGGAAATCTATGACAATCAATTAAGTAAATGAGAAAATAGAATGCTTGTAATTAGGATAATCAAGCTACATGAAATCTACCCTACTAGTGTTAATATCTGTATATCTCCAAGCTGTATATTAATTAAACACCATGTAAGCGTTGCAATTAGACTTAAGCTGCAATGGTGAAAACAGGAGAAAAATGATTGGAGGGGTTTTTACTGTACGTGAAACACTTAGTTCTTTTAAAGCATCTTATGATTTGTAAGGTTGCTGCAGACACTCCTGGGATGTGTGGGGACTCTGTAGCAGTCTTCAGCTGCTTCTGAAACAGATGACCCAAAGAAAATAGACTTTTGTTTGCAAAAGCTATATTTCTGCTCAGGGGTGTATGTTATTTTCCCCTCAATTTCATGAATGAGTTTGGGTTACTGAGCTCTGAAACCAGTAGTCAAAGAGGTTAGATATTTTCTTCTACATGGGGAACTGCAAAGGGGAGAATGGAGAGACAGGAATTATTCCTCTAAAAGACGGGACTCTGTCCTGCTTTTATGTTCTTCTGTTTGTGTTTTAAATTTGATATTAAGACCCTAAGGTCGCCCAGGCCTTCCTACTGGACAAGGCATCACCTTAATATATTTGTACTGGGAGACAAACACTACTTGATACTGGCTGAATAATCTGGGCGTGTTCAGATTCTGCTTCTTCATTTATTTCCTGGTGCTTTTGGGGGGCTTGTGGAAGCAAAAGGTTCTGTCAGGGTTAGTGTGGGAGGGAGGAGGAGCCCTTCCCTCCATATGGGTACCCTTCTGGTGGTCACACAGCAACTTCAGAGTGAGTTTATTGTGGTTTTATGAGTTGTGGGTTTGGGGATATTTGTGCTTTCTCTTTTTCTCCTGCGTGTAGCTTTTGATGGTTGCAAGCATACGCGTTAAAGCACTATGGAGGTAGTGGAAGAATCATGTTGCAGGGCCAAACTTTGGTCTCATCAGCTAGGGATACCAAAACAGCAGAATAGGGCAAAACAGATGATGAACCCATCCACTAACGGGCAAGATATTGCCATGGCTATTTTAAGATTAAGTCTTTAGAGTCAAATGAAGTAGTACACCTGATCAGTGTGGACATCAGCTTGATGAAGTTGTTGCACAAATAATGAATAAAAGTAATACTTTTGTTGTGTTTATTTTTTCCAATTCTTTAAAAATCTGCTTTTACAGCACGATATTCTTCCTTATGACAAATGAGCCTATTCACTGGTATTGTGTTTTCAGATAATACCATTTACGTTTCTAGAAAGAAGTGAAAAAGAAAACTGTACAGGACGCCTTCAGTTTTTCATTTGACTTTGTTCTTAATTTTTTTTTTATTATTTGACATTGATACAAAAAAATAGTATCTTGATTAGCAGCTTTGCTGGCAATCCCACAAAACTGTAAATAATACTTTAATCTAAAAGAATGCACTCCTACAGACACTATAGATAAAACAATATATACAATTTAGACAAATAAATACATAAGTACAGCCAGTCATATATAATGATACACCTAAAGTTCGGTTACTGTTGACAAGCTTTTCTAGTTAATTACACTCTTCATTTACAAATTGCCATTGCCATCTACGTTATAAAGACAAAAAAATTCCCAATAAAGAATCAAAATTGATACTTAACGTTATTATTAGGAAAGACAGAAAATGAATCTTGAGGCTTCTGTTTAAATACTCTCATGGTTTTAGCAAAAAAAAATGCTTTTATGAAAAACTCCTCCTAAAGAGAGGCATTTCCCCATCCCCCCAGCTTCTTTGCTAAATGTGCTTTGTTCGTGTATGTTTTGGAATCAAAATGTCACACATCTGAAGTGACTAGAAGCCAGCATGTCTTAACGAAGTTGTCATTTGCCCCCTGCCTAGTGAGACAAAATGACCTTTAAGTAACATAAATATTTCTTTTGGCTAAAGGAAGCCCAATGCAAACACTTGTTGTTAACCATGCCCCGTGTGGCACAAATACTACTGGGTGGAAGGGACAGCAAGCTGTCCCTGTGAGTAGATATATTGCTCCCTTTCTAGCTCCAGGTTGCAATACTGCAATTTCTGAGCAAAGAGAAAATAATAAATCCGTTACCTAAGTGTAACACGCTAGTGAAGTCTAGTATCAGAAAATTAATAGAAGTATAAAATTAGGCTTTCGTTGTGTTCTTTTAAATTCACTAGACAGTAAAAGAAAAAAAAAAAATCTTGTACATTCAAAAGCTAGGGCACACATGCTTAAGGCTCTTGAAACACTGGACAAATATAATGCCTAACTCAGCTCCATGCATAACAGAATACTACATAGCAAGCAGACTCTACATATATATACAGCTGAATACAGAAGAAAATGCCTTAGAAATATGTACATAAATTCCAAGATGAACATTTACATTTCTGTTGAAGATCTATCTATTTATAAATGGCAGGAAATATATTTTTGGGGATACTATTTTCAAGGTGTACCTTCCAATCATTAATGCAGTCTACTTGTACTAGGAGAAATTCAAGGCTACCATGCTACTCGAGCCCTGAGGTATCTGGATTGGGAGCCCTGCTGTCCTCTTGGTTACTAACCAAAGGCAAAAAAAAAAGCAGGAAAAGTAAGGCCACCAAATCCATTCAGTTGCGGATTCAGAAACCCCAAATTACTGCACAGTGCAGAGGGATAGCAGAAGTGATTGTAGCCTGTGGGTTGAAATTATTACAAACTGGGTTCCTGGTAGGACGGTATCCATGCTGTCCAATTTACCTCAACGGCTGGGGATGAATCCATCCTGGTTTCCCTTTCTAAACCTCATATTCTGGGGCTTGGGAAGGGAAAGCTGAACTTCACCCAGTCTGTGTGTGTGTGTATGATACATTCATCTATGCAATTAGTTGGACCTTGTTTAGCTAGTGTTCTGAGTTTGACAGGAAGCAAGAGCAACTTTAACAAGGACTAGGTCAACTAGGGAAGGATAAATCTTAATTACAATGCAAGTGATTCACTATTTTTATATAAAATTACCGATTTTCATTTATGAAGGATGCACAAGCTCCTGTTGATTAACAGTAACTCCTGAGCTACCTGTTGTGTAGCTTCACCTTCAGATCTGAAGTAGACCTGTTTGAGATACTTACTGCTTGTGGCTGGAGGCCAGGTACGCTTTACCTTATTTACAAGTAATTCCTTTCAAAATGGTAGTTCTGCATCTGTGAATAAGACTAACAATTTGTTATGAAACTACAAACCTTTTGGGGTAGCATCTTCATTTCTCTGTTACTGTTGTAAAGTGCTATGTACACCTATGGCAAAATCAGGTCAGAGTTTTCCTTTAAATTCTTATTCAGTTAATTTCTGACAACTTTATAGACATCCTGAAAAATGTACAGACTTAACAGTTTTTCATATGTTGCACACAATGCCATCTGAAATGAATGAGACTTTTGTGTGTGCTGTGGATGGGATGAGTAATCTACAGCTAATAACATATTTGGTGAGCTTTGTATCTTTGTAATTTGCCTGTGAATTCTTCATTCCAAGTTATTTGCTGATCAATGTCATATTTTAGCTGTTTATTAGAAGGTGGTGCTGAATAGAGAGGGCTTGAATTTATTGAAGAATTTTCCAGGAAATAATTTTCATAACATTGCATTAACATTCGAAACATGTAAGCACATTATGAACCCTGAATAAAACCTTGGGTATTTGATTTCTGTTGCATGCTCTGGGGATCTCTTGAGCGGGACCTCAGACCCCATCATTGGCTCTATGATGAGTAACCTGGGAGCTGCAGATTTGTAACAAAGGCTAGAATTTATTTTTCTTTAATAGGTGGGTCTTAAGGGCCCTCTATAGACCTTACCCTTAAAAAACTGCTTTTTGAGTTACTTTTTTTTAGGTAAATCGTGTACTGCCTGATGTTAAAGAAATATGCTGTTTACTGACACTTTTATCATTCAATATAATTATATATTGCTATGCAAGACGCTTAATGGAGAGATCCACTGATACTAACGAGAAACATTGCACTTGCTTTGAGATCAAAAGTTAAAAGATATTCATACTTCCATCGTGTGTTTTTAAGATAGTTTTTCATACATCTCCCCTGTCTTATTTCCCCTACAGATTCTACTTCATTTTAAAATTGTGTTAGATCTTTTAGGGGCTACTTGAGCCACTGGAAAGAAATGGGGTATCTTCTGAAATCATTTAAAGGAATCCCATTTGGTGGATAAAAATATACTTCAGTGTGTGGATTTGTTTTTAAGCTCTATGAGACTTTGTTCTTACCTGTCTAAATTCTGCTATTATATGGTCAGTAAGCTGTTTGGGAATTGCGCATGTTGTACTATAAAATATACACGTCAAGATAGGTGTGTAAGGTCAGTGCAAATGTATATCATTTAATTTATTAACAAAGCTCTAAATAGAGATGGTTGTAGGCTGTCAAAAAAGGGACAAAATCATATTTATAATTCTGCATTTCTTAGGGCCTGAGTCTCATCTCAGAGGCTGGGGCATGAACGGTTAAGCAGCTTATGATAGTTTATTACTGTTCTTTACATACAGATGCAGGAGCTGATATGTGTGGTAGAGGATAATATACAAAATCTGAGATTTGACTCTAGATCCTTTCAGTTGGTGTAATGTCCTTATGAAAAGAGCCTGAAGTCTGTAAACCAGTAGTCAAAATGAGAATGAAAAATCAGTCATTAAAAACTCTCTCACAGTTAATATCCCACAGTTTAACCTGTAAATCAGCAGATCACTTTGTCAAAAGATAACCAGGCTAAATCAAAATTTTTTTAAAAAAGGTATTTACATCTGTAAAAATCTTAACATCTAAGATGTTTCTTGCTGGACATGTCATTCCAAATTCTGTGCATTTCTTCTGGTGTTATCTGGTGCACCGTGATCACCCTGCGGTACCTGCACAAGCTGTAGGCCATTTTCCAGTGATTGAAGCCACTGTTTTGGAAGGGGTGAATGCCCAGCTTCCGAAGACAGAGTCCAACATACACATCTTCAAGATGAAGAAGTCTGGTGTGAAGGGAGGTTTTGTAAATCAGTTCCGCTACGTCAGCTGAAAATATGTAGCCAGTGCCTGAACAGAATGGCGGATAATTGCTGTCGGGGTACAAATCTCTCGGCATGTACCATTTACTGCGAACATCTCGTATTGGTCCTCCATTTATAACGTAACCTGTGAAGTACCTTCTCCTTGGCTTGGTGTTAGGTTTGAGCAGCTTATAAATAAGATTATCCATATTTACAAAAATGTCACTGTCTGTCTTCATAACGTACTTTGCTTTTGAACAAAATGTTGCTACCCACCTCATCCCCATCAGTGTTTTCAGAGTGAGGTTATGATAAGAGTCAATAAAATCCTCCACAATAATGTCATGAAAAATTTGGCTTTCTTGCTCTACCATTTGATTTAACACAGGATCTGTGTTTTTTCCAAGAAGAAATAGTGTGGCGATTTTAATTCCTTTAAAGTTGTTTTCGTCTCCCCACGTTTCTCGGATGGCTTGCCTTGCATCAAACTCTTTGTGAGTTGTGCTGATAAGAATGACCAAGAAAGGGACACTCTTCTCACATTTGTTGGGTTCATTGATAAGAAAGTCAAAGGAATGTGGATTTATAGGTCGAGTCCTTATGTTGCCAAAGGAAACATTTTTTCTGGCTATGGATATGCTACTGAGCTGTCTGTGGCCAGTGTAGGAAGAAGTAGGACGAGTTATACTCAAGTACCAAAGAGCGCTTGCCCAACAAACTACTGTCAAAACGTATAAGCATGAGACCTTTGAAGCCATTGTTCCTCTAGCTCTTCTATTCCATGTGATGAATAAATAGCCTTCGTACCATGAGTGCACCTATGTCCCAGAGAGGCAGCATATTATTAATGAAACTTGAAAGTTCGATTTAGAGAAAAACCTCTGTAATCATTCATGGACCTCAAGTAGGAGCTATTAACCCTGATGATACTCAGCTTTTCTTCTTTTACTACCAGCGGCTTCCATTTCTTAGAATTTCCTGTTATTTCTGAAAAACATGAAGAAAAATTTTCCGTTGCTCGATCATAAAAGCCTAGGGCAAGAAAAATGACCATTAACAAGCTAAGCGTCTTAATGCATTTCTCAGATACCCTTTTTTTTTTTTTCTCATGAGGTACCACAAAGTAAGATAGTGTAGTAGAATATAGCAGGATAACTGAAGTAATGCTTTTATGATTGATAGTTTCCCATAGATTATAATATATAGAAAAACTTAAGCATGCATAGCATGTTGGCTATTTAGGTAATTTTAAAGGTACACAAAATTAATTTTCTCATTTCTAGTGTTTTCTTGCTTCCTAGCATTTTTTTCTGGACAATCTTTCAGAATATGCCATAGAACATTTAAAAATTATTTAAAGAATGAAAAATAACATACTTTATCTTAGGATTAACAGCATCAGTGGCAACTATGCACAGGAATACCTACAAATCCCTTTTGGTCTAAATGTTGTTAATGTCTGTCTCTCTAACAAGAGCATGCTTTGGTGGAAATCGGACAGAAAGGTACAGGAGGGAAAGATACATAAGTTGTCTTACCCATGTAAAGATCAGTGCCCGAGTAGACTCCAGAAAAGTCTGGAAATAAATGAACACAGTTCAGTTATTCTTGGTGGCTTCCTTCTTTACTTCTCGTGAGCAAACATCATTTTTATATCACATAAGATAAATCACAATGGAAGCCTATTAACAGTGTCACTTTGCTGGCCTGCCTGCAGAACGCTTGGCTCCCCAGCCAGGCTCCCGGCCTTGGCAGACCTTCCCCACGGCTGCGCCAGTCCTGCCTCTGGCACCGGGCAGCTTTGAGGATTCCCTGGATCCAGGGAATGTACCAGCCCTGAAGCTTGCTTTGCTCTTAGCATGTTTCCTGGGAACCAGTTCTCTATTTATCATCATTTCATCAAAATGAGACAAGCTGCATTAAGCCTGCCGGATCAGTGCCGACTCCTCCAAGGCATACCGGTAGCAGGAGAGTGCCTGTAGGCTCCATGTTCCAGGGTTTTACCACTGTGTTGCTTTGGAGCTAAAGGACGGTAGAAGCATGCAACAGATAAGCTTTACACAAGAGCCTTTGAAATATTTAATATTTACTTTGGATAGAACAAAACATCTATGGATTCAGATAAAAAGATAGAAGCCCTGTCTTAGAAATGTCCTTTCTGTTTCCACACCGCTTTGACATGTTGCTTGGATTACATCAAAGTGCTTTTTAAGGATGCTTTTCTTAAGTGCCTCCCCCACATTGGGTGTGTATGGTCTCTTTTTCCTTTCTCCGGAAGCAGATGAGAGTGTGGCCCCATGGCAGGGTCTCCTGTCAGTGACCTGTTGCTTGGGGTTTGTGCAGACAGAGCCCCCCCGGCAGGCTATCAGAGTTAGAGGACTGTTAGCCTGTGTTACTGTATCACACTGAGGTGCGAAACCAGCAGAGAAACAACCTCAGCATTTGCTAAATATATACAGACTATAGTCTCCTTATATGTTCTTACAGCTAGTGCGGTCCTGCTAGTCTTCATTACATGCGCTTTTAGCTAATTAATGACCACAACCTGCACACCCCTCTCCCCTTCCATGTAATAGAAAAAGGTGAATTTGTGGCCTGTTTCAGAGATTTATCAGTTTCAATTGATTTTGCCCTAGAACCAGGGCAATTTAATGAGATAGAGTTGATCTTTGCTACTTGTCACAGGACTTGGGATTTGTGATCTTTTCCTACCAAGCAATACCAGTAAATGTTTGGGAGCAGTATATTTAAATGAGGCCTTTAATTGCCCCATAGGGCTGCAGAACACAATGATCTTGGCACATGCATGTACATACTTATAAATAAATACATTTGTGATAAATATATACACAAATGCTACCATAATGTCTGGAGAGGGGATCTATCTTACTGTAATAACCTACTGGGCTCACTGGGACACAGTTCTGAGAAAGGTAAAACACATCCCTGATATGGTAGGTTGTTGGTTTTTTTTTCTGGCTTCGTTGTGAAACTCCGATAACCACCCCCACTGCAAACCCCAGCAGGGAAAAACACCAAGCATGAAATGTCATAATGTAATGAAAACATAACAGTCTAAGGTCTAGAAGATTGCGGTAATAAAGAAATATAGCAGTTGCCAATTGGAGATGTGGAGTGTGAGCTATGTAGGTCAGTGTATTTAATGGACTCCAGCATTAAGGTCTCACAAATACTTGTAATATTCTGCATATAATGCATTATTCTAGGAAACTTTATATTGCGTTCTCTAAATGTGTATACTCCTCTACATCTTTTCTTTAATAAAGGCAGGGGTGCGTTAGTTACCATGAATACTGTGCAGATGTCTGAGGGAAAGGAAAATTGTAACCAAGGCTTCTCACAAACTGCAAAATTACATAAAATAGCTTTTCAGTCCAGCAATGCCATGGCTGTGATGCCCAATCTCGTGTGCTCTGAAAGGATTAGAAGCAACAAAAGCCTTACACCATTTTGAAGACAGATTCCACGTTATTGTGGGGAATTTTTTGCTCAGTTATGAAATCTACGGATAACTGTTTCTTCAGGATGAATATTTCTTATATTGGCCCTTGGATTGCTGTCTCTTGAAATAAGTTTATCTTTTTCTGTTGTGTGTTTGTTTTGGGATTTTTGTTTGTTTTGCCTTTTTTTTAAAGAAAAATAAGAATTTAGATGGTGTTCTTCGGTTTAAAGTGTTTTCCACTGTACCTGTGGTAATTTTGAGCGAAGTGTATGTGAAGTTGTTAAGGATGAATGGGCTGTCCTGACAAGTGAAATCTTAGATTTAATTATTTTTTAGGAATATTGAGTGGAAAAACAAGGAGAGATCTCTCAGCTTTCCTATGATGGGGGTCTCTGCTATTCTTACTCTGCTGTGAGGTGAAGATGAGAAGATTAAACTTCCTGTTCCTGCTTTACCTGAGCTTTTTTTCTATATATATATAGGGAAAAGATTTGGAAGAAAACAGCACAAAAAAAAAAAAAAAAGGCAAATAGTTCGAATGCACGATAAAATTTACTGAGGAGTCTTGGTCTGGTATTTTAGCTGAGATTATTGTCACCTTCAGGACTGAGCTCTCACTCGTTGCAGGATTGCAGAGGGGAGGGGGTTGGATAAGTAGCTATATGGTGTAATTTTTTGGCCGTAGGGCAAATGCTCCTACAAATTATTTCTGGTAACATTGTTCCTGCACAGTAATTCCAATAATGTTTGTCTTGCACAAGCAAGAAAATACATAGTTAATTATGCAGGGAAACATGAACTAAGTAGCGAAATATGTGTTTTGTGATGATTTAGTAATTCCTTGGAATTACTCTTGTGTTGAAGGTATCTTGCAAAATTGTTCACAGTATCAAAGTTTGTGACAGCAAACCTTTTCCTTGTCATGTGTTGTGACTTGCAACTAAACTCTGCAACCATGTAATACGCAGAATATCGAGGATGTGAGTTACAAGGAATGAAATCAGAGTGTAAAATTAACGTGCTTAAATTACAGTCTGTTAAAACTTTTCTGTTATTTACTTATTTGGAAAAGAGGAGGAATAAAGTATGGGAACTAAGATCACTACTTTCATCCAAATAACAACCAAAAGCACTTCAATGCCTGCACATTGTTGTGGTTCCTTCAGCAGTTTGCCCAGTTTTCCAGAACATTTTTAACCTAGTCAGTAGTAAATGACTCAAAAGCTGCCTTAAATGCTAAAATGTGTCCTAAATTCATTAAGATAATGTGTTCCTAGTCCTGATACTGGATTCAGTATATTGTCATCATAAGGATGACTTTTTGTTTGGTTTTTTTTTTTAGTTGTTTTTTATTTTTGAGTTGTGCCATGATCTTGAATTTGGTATTGATATATGTTTGAAAGCCCTTTAACAGCAGGATATGGATTGTCACAGACGGAGCAGAAATCTTTTACCAGTTTTGGACTTTGCTGTTATGATATGTCATGTTTGGGGATACCGGCACAGGCAAAGGCAAGTGTCACCTCCTTTGTTCTGTGGGGTAAAAGAAAGCTTTTGAGCAGGGCAGCAGCAATGTTTAGCTCTTGTATCCTTGTTCTTAAAAATATTTTAATTCAATCTGTCCCTTTTCCCAGCCTGGCTGTCATACTACTAGTAATCAAAGGCTCAGGCTTTGCTAGGGTAGATGATTGTACAAAGCAAATGTTTAGCATCGTGTTTCCATATTGTGACTCAAAGTTGTGCACTTAATTGTGCTACTCACAGCTCATGCTGTGTGAGCCAGAGAAGCCACCCAGTCGGAGAACAGAAGCAGTACTGTGTAACTTCTGTAAGTAATTGACCTGATGGAGACTGTGAGTATTTGCAGCAAACCTTTTACAAGCTGACTGCACATCAAGAATAATCCTCCAGATAATGAGCACATTTGAGAATCTTGCTAACTGTTCATGGGCAATTTTCAGGCAGATGTCAAATGAGTTCAGCAACCATTACTTGCGAACTGCAATATTTTGCCAATATTTTTGGAACGCTGCTGTCTCTGCTGAGAGGTTGTTGATCTTTTTCTTTCAAGAAAGCCCATCCTATGTAAGTGCAGTTGCATTAATGTAACTAGATCACGGTGGATGCACATGATAGAAACCACAGCTCCTGAAGACTGGCATGTTGCCATAGTTGTAATCCATACCATGTCGCTACTTACTGCTAAGGCGTAATGTAGGTGCTGAGCGGAGGCAGTCAGGATGCTGAGCCTGGGGGATGACCCCAGGTGAGAAGCCAAGGGAGGCCGCAGCTGCT